CTCAACGGCCGGGAGGGGCTGAGCGGAGCGTGTGGGGAAGAGGCAGTCCTGTGACTTTAGGGTCTTTCCGTTGGTCTGTGTTTTGATTGTTCTGCAAATTCTCCGATTTCTGCTTGGTTTGCTTGGCTCTTTGCTTTGTGCTGTGGATGGGGCTGGGCTGGACTGGCACCAGCTGAGCTGCTCGCCCGGCCTTATTGGAGAGGGAGGCAATGCAAGCGGAAAGTGTCTGCCTTGCGTTCCTGGGGCAGCTGGCTCTCTTCCCCGGGCACTTTGTGCTTTCCATTTTAAGACTCCAGCAGATCTATGGGGAAAGGCTGCTGGACACCAGCTAGCATGTGCACAGGCCAAGAGCAGGTGGCTCCAAAGGGGACGAAGCTGGACTGGTCTCAATGGTGGCAGGTGGCAGAACAAGGAGCAATGGGCTCACATTGCAGCAAGGTTTGATATGAGAAACTTTCTGTCCAGGAGGGTAGTGAAGCACTGGAACAGGCTCTCCAGAGAGGTGGTGGCATCTCCATCCTTGGAGGTTTTTAAGAAAGCCTTGGCTGGGATGATGTAATTGGGGCCGGTCCTGTTTGGAGCAGGGGGTTGGACCAGATGGGACCTCCTGAGGTCCCTTCACTTGATGAATGGGGAACACCTTCGAGTGGCAGGATCTGCCATGCCCGCTGGCTGCAGGGCCACCCTCCCTGGTTTGGTAAATCTGTAGGCAAGCATGTGATAGTGCCATCTGAGCAGGGGCGTGTAACCTGGCTTCTTTCACTGACATCTGCCCTCTGTAGCCTGTATTTATCCAGCTGGGAAAAGAACCCAGCACCCCAGAATACAGGCCAAGATGTCAGCAGCTGCCAGGGCCATTCACAGAGACCTCGTCCCAGCCAGCGCTCTCCTCGCTGGTGTATCATTTGCTAGTTCAGCATCAACTCGAACCTGCCCGGTCCATGGCAGAGGCCATCCGTCACCGCTTGGGCAGATCCGGCCTGTGCAGGGGACTGGGAGGCTGTTTCAGGATCTCATATTTCTTCCTGCAGCATAAAATCTCCCCGGTGTTGCAGAGCTACAGGCCCAAGCACCGGGACACGGCAGGGTCACGGCCTGGCTATGTCTTCCAGTGCATAGCCCTGTGCTCTCATTTTCCCTGCTACATTTGGTGCCCTGGGCGCGGGTCTACACGTGCATTTACGCCGGCTTAAATTTACTGCTCAGTAAACAGGCATAAACTGGCGTCTACACGTGCAGGCGTTAGAGCGCATTAACAGCGTGTATGGGCTGACTCAGGACTAAAGTTGGGACTGCACAGTAAGGCATCTACATGTGCATTACTGCACAGTAACTAATTGGGTGTAAATTTGATGCCTGCATGATGCAGGCATCAAATTTACACTCAAGTTGGTGTAAGTTGCCTTATTTGCTGTGCAGTATGGGCATGCACGTGTAGACACACGCCTGTACTGCGCAGTAAATGTGCATGTGTAGATGCACCCAGGGGGAACCCGAGTCGGGTGCAGTGATGGAGCCTGTCGGACACTGGCCACATTGGCTGGGTAAGCCATGGGGGATGCATCATGGGTGAAACGGGGCTTGTTGAGATCTCACAAGTGCAGTGGAAAGCAGAGGGTCCTGGGGGGCTCTGACAAGCAGGCAGTGAATGCTGAAAGGGAGGGCATGATGTGGGGAAAAGAGCCCAGAGCTGCTCTGCACAGATGTGCCCTGAGCAAAGACATCTGGGGTTTCAGCTTTCTCCTCTGGGATCTGTCTTGGCAAGTCTAAATACTCCCTGGGATGTACTGGGCCCAAAGCCGTAGAGTGAGGGCTGGGGACAGCGTCTTACACGCTACGGCATTGGCTCGCTGCACCTGGGACTGGGAGATGAGGAGATAGGGCATGGCCCCAGTGCTGTTAATGCCTGCACGAGGGAGGTGGAAAGTGTTGTTCATGTTGTTTCATGGTGGAAAATCAGGCTGGAGGCAATTTTCCAGCAAACCCCTCTCCCCAGGATTTCCGTGTCGGCAGGTGCTCGCTTCTCCTGATTGCTTCCCAAAGCACCTGGCTCCTGGCCCTATGGTTTGGATGCTGGCAAGGTGGCCATGCCCTTCCCCTCTCCAGGCCACTGAAATGCCTGTGGATTTTGGAAGGAGACTGTAGGGACCTCGTGCAGTTCAAGTGAACTCAGTGACTTTCAGCGGCCTGAAGACGTATTCATAGAGAAGGCAGGTGGGAAGGGACCTCCAGAGCTCCCCTCGTGTCCAGCCCCCTGCCCGAGGCAGGATCAGCCCTGTCCAGCCCAGCCAAAATCCATCATCTGATGTCGGAGCAAAACTGCTGTCAACCCTGATGCGACACAAGACCTCACACCTGAACCTGCCACGGGGAAAGCAGCAGGACCATGGCCCCTAATGTCCTGCTGCTGGACAGCGTTGTTTAATATATGCTCAATAGCAGAGGTCACATCCTTGAGTCATAAAATTGGGGAACATGAGGGTTGGGAGGGACCTCGGGAGGTCCCATCTAGTCCAGCCCCCTGCTCAAAGGACCAGCTCCAAGGCTTTGTCTACCCAGGTCTTAAAAAACTCCAAGGATGGAGAGTCCACCACCTCTCCAGGTAGCCTCTTCTAGTACTTTACTACCCTCCTCGTGAGAGTTTTTCCTAATGTCCAACCTCAACTTCCCTTGCTGCATCTTGAGTCTGCGTCCAGGTATGGCGTAGCAGGACTTTGCCCTGGCAGGTTAGCATTCCTCTTTCCCCGGCAGTGGCGGTGTGGCCGCGTGCTGCAGATCTGCCCTGTTCTGATGGTAGCTGATTTTATGGGCAGCTTTTTGAAGGGGTCTCTCCAGAGGATGGAGTGCTGCTGGCGTTTCAGTGACGGTTACTTCCATAATTCATATCGACACCATGGCAGTGGCTATCAGCGGTGACATTGCTGGCCTGCTAGAGGGGCAGGTGGGGCCTGGGACTGGGAGTCGGGCCTCTGGGGTCTTTTCCTTGTGTCTTTTCCTCGTGCCTCAGTTTCCCTGCTTTGTAAAAAAGGGGCACAGGTACTTTCCCTTCTAAGGAGGGCCTGCGGCCCTCTAGGCCAGCAATGCTCACCCGGGTCTCATGGCAGCCCAGGGGGCCTTGAGATCCTTTCAAGGTTGCTGCACAGAGCGAGCCGGATATGAACCCCCTGAGTTCTCTGCACCTGGAACATCGCTCTCTTCTTTTTCCATAGTCAAAAACCGGGTGAAACTCAGCACTGGCCTTTTCCGAGGGGCCTGCGGAGGTTGCAAATCGCTGTCTGAGGCACCTGTGCTACCCGTGGCTCCACGATGGACCAGTGGAGAGGGTATTTGCTAGGATGCTTGGCTTGTCTCCTTCAGCTCTTCTGCTGGTTGCCCACTCGGGGTTACGGCCTTTCTCTCCATGCACAGGCCCGCAGGGCTTTTCTTTGGGATGTGTTTGCAGCCAGCCACAGGCTCCCATGTGGCTCCTGCTGACACCAGGGTCTGGCTAGTGCGGGGGCCGGCCTGTTTCTCAGCCCATAACCCGACATCTTCATTTGCTTTTGCTGTTTGGCCAGCCTGCCTTGGTTATTTTGGCTTTTTCCAGCATGGCCTGCTATGTCCCTGCGTCTCAGGCGCCTTCAGACATCCGTTCTTTCTGACTCAGCCCGGCAGGCTTCCCCTGTGCACAGTTCTTGGCTGGAATTCCCCTTGTTTTCTGACTGCCTGGCACTGTGTCCCAGTCTCGGTCTGGGCACAAGCCGCTGGGGGATATCGAGTCGTGGTCTAATTTCAACCCCATTCAGGTTTCCCGAATGGGGAATCCACTGGGCACCAAGCACGTAGCAAGTTGAGGGCACTGACGTGCAGAATGGGGGGTGACTTGAGATCCTCTTAGGGGTGCCGCGGGGCACCGTGCCATGTTAGCACCATTTGTGGTGCTAACGGGTCATGAGAGCAACCCAAGGATTTCAAATATAGCTGAGGCCTTCCTGAGTTCTTTGCCACGAGTGGCTCTATTATTTTTCTGAAAAGCTAAGAGCTGGCAGTCTCCAAGGGGGGGCCACAAGTCTGTCCAGGGGTGCCACGAGTCTAACAAGATTGAGAACCACTGCACTAATGCTTTTGAAGGACAAGAGCATCAAGTCCTTCTGCACGGGACCCCTGGGCTGTCGAGCAGCTGAGCTCAAGGGCAGCCCAGACATGAAGGCTGTAGCCAGGTGCCTTGCTCGTTATGGGCCAAGAAGTTCGGACCTCCGAACATATGAAAAGCAGCTGAGACGGGGGCTATCATTTGGGAATTCACTGACCAAACAAGCCTGGATTTGCACTGTAATTTCAGCCTTGACTCTGCTAGGGCCACAGAGGCCATTTCTCAAGCCCATGTGGATGTGAAAGTGCTATAGGAAGGGGTTCTGAGCTGGGAGCTCCAACTGGTCTTACCTGTGGTCCGGGGAGAGCCGGCCCATGCTGGCAGAGCTCTCCTGGCTCCGGGGGGAGATGCTGGAAAGCGCAGAGCAGAGGGTTTGCTTGCCATGCTCCCCTTCCTTGCTCCGCACTGTGGCTGGGGCTTGGTTTTGATCCCAGTTCCAGGGGCAAGGTCTGCAGAGGACACCTGCAGAAGGGACCTGGAGAGTTTCTTGGAGCCTCGGGGGGCTCTGCCTGCCTGGCAAAGGAAGATCAGTCCAGTGAGCACTGGGACCAGATGCTGGGGTCCCCAAGGCACTGGCTAGGGCAGGCACCACGGCTCTTGCCTTGAGCCTTCTGGTCTGACAGCCTAGGGGAGCCTGACCTGGGTGGCTGGAGCTCTGCCTACCCATGTCAGAGGGGATCTGCATCTCGGTAACACCTCGTGGCAGAGGTGTACGTTGTACTTCAGGCTCAGGGAAAGGGAAGGTGCTGGCAGGTTGCTAGAGAAGGGGCCCTGGACCTCTGGCCTGACGAGGTTGGGGTGCAACATGATTGTGGAGGTGGCACCAAGCGAGGCAGCAGCTGACCTCTCCCTGCTTGTGTCTTGCCAGCTGCTGTGACCTGGAGCGCATCCCCGCAGACCGCCCCCATGGACCTGCGCATCGGGCAGCGCTTTGTCAAGCCCGGCTCGGACACGGCCCTGCTTGCTCTGAAGCAGACGCAGCAGCTGCAGCACCAGTTCTTCCTGGCCAGCCTGCATCAGCAGCAAGTGGAGCAGCTCACCCACCAGCAGATGCGGGTAAGGAGTCCCTGCCAGGGGAGCAGGCATACAAAAGGGGCATCGTGCCAGCAGCCTGGAGTGAGGGTAGGGGGGGGTCCTTCAGGGATGCTGCCCTGGTGATGAAGCCTAGGGGGAGCGGAGCAGCTCAGATCGCAGCCATGCCCAGGGGCTTGCACCCCAGTGCCAGCTCTCAGAGCCCCATGCAGACCTCCAGCACGGTGTGTCGGCTTGAGAGACCCATCGAGTACAGCAGCTTCTCTAAAAGCAAATCCCCTTTCTCTCTTGCCTCTGAGAAAAGGCCAGAGCGGATTGTGCCCGAAACCTGCCCAGGCCCCGTCATGTCCTACCCAACATGAAGGCCATGACTGGTGGACATTGGAGGGTGACCCGGTGCCCCCATGGGCAGACACTGCTGCTCCCAAGCTGGCAGCCCTGCTCTGCTCTCCTCAGACTGGGCCCCCTCACAGCCCAGAGCACCAGGAATAAATGGGGGTCGACCTGGTGTTATGGCCTCCCCAGACAGGGAGTGCATCATTAGAGACAATCCACATCTGCGTGGCTCTGGGAGGATATAAATACCCTTCCAGGCTGCTGGGAAAGTTCTTCCTGGCTCATTTCCCAGAGCCAAGGGTTTCCTTCCTGAAACACACGCCCTTTGAGCAGAGATGCGGGTTCAGGCATGGGATGGGATTTGGGAGCGCTGGGCCGGCCCCTGCTTCTCTGCAGATGTCCTGTGCAACCACCACAATCAGCCCGGAGGTCTTGTGCTCTATGGGAAATTCACCTCTGTTCCCCAGCCCTGAGGGGCACGGGCATTGGCTTGACTCGGCTCTGGGTGTTGATTTGGGCTCTCCTGGCACCCGGCTCTATTCCTGTCTCTGCCGCAGGTTGAATTTGCGGGTTGGTTTGAAATCAGAGTGGAAGCAAATGTATCTGGGACTTTTTGTAGGGCTGGAGGGAAGGGCCAAGCCATTTGGAAAGGGCTGGTTGGAGTTAGGAAATTCTGTTTGGATTTCTGCCGGCTCTCTGGGCCCAGCAAAGGCTTGGCTTGTAGCACAGCCCAATACCAGAGCTGAAGTGCTCTGGGCTTACACAAGTCTTCAAAGCTTTAAGGGCAGCTTGTGGGCAGCTATAGCCAACTGGGACCCGAGCACACACAGCAATGGGCCTCTCGGTGGATGTAGCGAAAGGATTGGATATTTTCAAATGGATCCATGATAAGAACCAGCTGCCATTAAGGAGCTGGGTGGGCCAGGCTCTGTCCCCTTTAGCGTGCTGGCCAAGCCAGGCTCCATCCCCTTTAGGGCACTGGCCAGGTCTGCGCTGGCCGGGCCGGGCTCCATCCCCTTTAGCGCGCTGGCCAACCTGGACTCCATTCCCGTTAGGGCGCTGGTCGGTCCGGGCTTCCTCCCCTTTAGGGCACTGCTCTTGCTCCAGTGGTGACGCTTTCCCCTTCCCCTGGCAGGTGAACATGGAGTCCCCGCACCAGGAGGCAGAAGTTGGGCAGCAGGAGCAGGAGCTGCGGCAGCTCCTTAATAAGGACAAGAGCAAACGAAGTATGAACCTCTGCTTCCATCTGTGTGGCTGTCTGTCTGCAGTGCTGTGGGGGCCGCTGCCTCTGACCCCCCCTGCCTGGCGAGAGGGTGTCCATGCCTGAAAGGGGCTGGGCTGAGACTCCTGGATGCTCTCCCTGGTGGCTGAGCCTGGCCCTGGCTCTAGGGAGCTCAGCGTGTGGCGTCTCTGGGGCTCTGGAGCAGCTGGTCCCTCCCCAGCCTTGCTGCCTGGTCACTGCTGGGCTGGGCCAGGCTGAGCTGGGCACCTGCCTACAGCCCCAGGGCTGTCCGTGAGCAGAGAAGGCAGGGCCCATCCAGCTCTCTGCCTTCCTGGCTCAGGGCAGCGGGCATCCCCCGTTGCAGAATAGCCTTGCCCAGTGCACGTCAGGAGCTGCCAGGATGGGCAAGACTCCACCTTGCTGAGAGTGCCCAAGGGGCAGGGCTGCTGTAGGGGAGCTTGCCCTGCCATCTGGGCCTGCCCCATTTGTGCTCGTCCTGCGCCATCTAGCGCCTATTGCAGCACAGAGCTAGTGCCGGATGTGGTTCTTGAGTGGCCCCTTTTCTGAGCTGAGAACTGCCCCTCTTTCGGCCTGCTGGAGTGCATAAACCCGGCCCAGAGCCAAACCAGTGTCTCCCACTGGCCATCCACAATGCTAGCTCCACAGAGCTGGGTGCCTGGGGGGCCCCTGAGAGCTCATTCAAGGCTCTCAGCTTGGGTCATGGGGAGTCTGGTGCCCTGGTCGCTCGCAAGTCAGGGCTTGTCACCTCTGTAGAGTTAACTCGGGTGTTGCCCACCATGGCTCTTACCCACGCCCGACCTCCCAGGCTTGCATGTGGTGGCTCCTTTGCTCGCAGGTTAGCTGGGCCAGCTGGCAGAGAGGTGAATTCCCATGTGCTGCCCCCTCCCCAGCTGGAAACCTTTCTGCTGGGTACTGAAGACGTGGCATGTGCAGGACCTGGGGCAGTGGCATGTGTATATGCACGTGTGTGGGGTGGGGGTGTTGTAGGGACACCAGCAGCACCCAGCGTGAGGACATAGAGCGAGGCCTCCATTTCCTGGGGCATGGGCATGGTATGGCATGACCCCATGGCTGGCTAACAGAAAGCCCACAGGGGCAGGGGGCATGTTGACTGCTCCGGGGCAGTTTCCCTAGTGTGTCAGAAGAGGTGTGGGGATGCCCTGGCATAGGTGTAGGACCAGGGTCTGGTTCTCTTCTGGATGGAGTGGCTTTGGCTGGGTTGCAGCCTCATCAGTGCCGAATAGAGGGGAAGAATCACTTCCCTCAACCTGCCAGCCTGCCAAGGCCAGGTGTGCTGCACTGGGGGTCAGACTGACCAGTGCCCCAGGTGCGGGCTGCTCAGGTCTCTGCCCCTGGGATCAGCAGTGCTTTATGAAGGGGCTGCCCATGGGTGCCTTCCTGAAGACCTTGGCAGTGCCCGCTGTGTGCTAACAGCCTGGGACAATGGCGGCGGTGTCTCTCTAGGTGCGGTGGCCAGCACCGTGGTCAAACAGAAGCTGGCTGAGGTCATCCTGAAGAAACAACAGGCTGCTTTGGAAAGGACCAGCAACCCCAACCCCTCCGCCATGCCCTACAGGTGAGATGGAGGCGCCAGAGCCTGTCTACCCCCTACCCTGCAGGGGCAGGGGTGTCATGGCGGGGAGTGTCTGTCAGCTAGTGCAAAGCTGTCTCTGGAGCGAGGAGCTGGTGCTGGGGGACTGGCTGCCTTTGGCAGTGGTGTCCAGTGAGTATGGGAAGAGACATCCCATTCCCAGGAGGCCGCAAGATATGGGGGATGCTTGGAGCTGGCACCTTCCCTCCAGGCCAGGTCCGGACAGTGGAGGGGGCAGACAGATGCCAGAGTGGGGTTGTTTTGCTGAGCAGAGCTGGGAGGAAGCTGTGCCTGCTGGTGCAGGGTTCGGGCTCACGATGCCCTTGAAGGCTGGCGGCCTGACCTCACTCCTCCCTGCAGGACCCTAGAGCCGCTGGATACCGAGGGGCCGGCACCTCCTGTGCTCACCAGCTTCCTGGCTCAGGTCCCCAGCACCATAGACCCCCCAGAGCACTTCCCGCTGCGGAAAACAGGTAAGGTCCTGCCAGCTGTGCCCACAGGGCCCACCCCTCCCCAGCTGCCATTGGGACAAAGGGGCAGCCTTTTGGGAGGCAAGGCTGGCTGGAGGGGGCATGGTAGGTGCAGGATGTTGCTGGCTCGAGGGTGCAGGATGTTGCTGGCTCGAGGGGGCCTCTAACAGCCACCCCCGGGGCACTGGGTCCTGGCGAACCTCAAGGTGCGCTACAAGCCCAAGAAGTCCCTGGACCGGCGCAAGAACCCGTTGACCCGCAAGGAGAGCGCGCCCCCTTCGCTGAAGAGGCGGCCGCCGGAGGCTATCGGTGAGGGGCACCAGGGCCGGCATTGGTGTGCTGGGAGCTGATCCAGGGGTGCTGTGCAGTTTGTGGGGGTGGATGAGGTGGGCACCAGCCTGTGGAGGGCCTTGCCAGGCCAGGGAGCTCTGGGCAGGTGGATGGCATGGCCCTGGACTACCTGCAGCTGTACCAAGCTGCTCCCCTGATTCATCAGGGACTAGAAGAGTTAACAGGCCTGGAGCTGCTGGTCTCTCCCCCCATCCCTGCCCATGGGTGCTGGGAGTTGCCCCCGGGGTGGCAGAGAGAAGGGGGTCCTTGTCTTGGTGGAGTCTGGGATCTCTGCTGGCACAGCTGGCAGCCAGTGCAGAGGCCAGACTGGCCTGGAACTGCTCCCCCGGGGCTGCTGGGGGAACTGGAGATGGCAGTGCGAGCTTTCGGCTGTGCTTGGCACCCAGGGCATGGGCCCACAGCCCTGCAGCAGGGTCTGCGGGGAGATAGCTGCGTGCGGGAGAGGGCGGGGGCTGGGGACTCCCGGGGCAGGCGGGCTGGGGGAGCCCTGAGATGGAGGGTGGGAGCCCGGGCACTCCTGACTACTGCCCCTTCCTCTGCAGACTCGTCCCCCAGCAGCAGCAGCACCCCGGTGTCCGGCTGCAGCTCCCCCAACGACAGCCTCCCAGCAGAGCATGGGGCCTTGCCCACGGGGCCTGGCTTGGTGCACGAGGTAAGGACCTGGCTGGTCCTACTATGCTCAGCCTCAGGCCTCCCCAGCACCCCCAGGGCTGCCGCCCTGAGTCTGGACCAGATCTCCAGCATGGGGCAGGAGGGGGATCCATGTGCAGAAATCCCAGCTCCTTGAATGCGCAGAGCCACTCACATGCCCTGTGTCCCTGCTGTCCTGTGGCTGGTGGCTGCACCCACCCCCTTGATGCCTGGACCCCTCCTACCCTGTTAGAGAGCATGGTCCCCCCCACTGCAGCCTCCTACCTGGTGGGGCTGTCTCACCATCACCCCGGCTGCCCAGATGCCTTGGCTGGGGGTGAACCCCATGCCACAGTGTCCCTGCTGCCTCTGTCTGCAGGCCCAGCCTCTGGAGCCCTGGCTGCCACCTCCTGTTGCTTTCCCCACATCTGGGTGGCCAGAGCTGGAGACTAATACATTGCATTTGCTGCAGACGCCACTGGCCCAGCGCCTGATGATGCAGGAGAGCTCACTGGCCCAGTTTGCCCAGCAGAGCGCAGCCACGCTACCAACCATCACACTGGGACTGCCCGCTACCACCAGTGGCAGGGGAGGGAGCCGGGGCACTGGGTCCTGGGTGCCAGCAGGGCAGGGATATCCCCTCCCTGGGGTCCCTTGGCTTCAGCCAGCTCCTCTGCTCCCTCCCTCCACCAAGCTGCTGACCCCGCCGTTGTCTCCGCAGGGAGAGGCAGACCGCCACATGCTCTCCAGCCTGACCCATGGACGGGTGCCGGTGCTGAATGGGCCTGTCCTCGCTGGCACGCACCCGCCCATGTTCATCCCTGCCAGCTTGGAGCAGCACGAGCCTGGGGGGACCCTGTCCCCACGTGTCATTATCCTCGAGCCCTCGGTCACCCACACTCCACTTGTGGCAGGTACGTAGCCATCGCCCCATCCCCCAGCTGCAGGGAGGATGGCTTGAGCCCTGCTTGGAGGTGGGGTGGGTGCCAGGCTTTGCACAGCCTGGCTCTGGGTGCAGCTGAGAGCTGGCTGGGTAGGCTCTGTCACTCAGGCTTGAGTCTCACAAGGGTGAAGTTCCACTTAAACCGTCCTCAATCCGTGGCACGTTAAGCACTGTTAAAGTGAGGATGTGCTGGTATTGGGGGGGAAGCATTGCATCCTGGGATGCTGGAGGACTGCAGATTGGTCATTTCATCTCCATGGATCAAACTGAAGTTGCCCTAATTTGAGCAAGGTAGCATGGTCCGGAGTTAACCCTCCCCTCAAATGATGTCACTTTGAGATGCTCAGAGGGGACTTGATAGGGGTTAACGAGCTTTAGTATGTGGATGCTGGCATTTGAAGTGCCCTTAGCGTGGTCTGAGTGTACTGGGTAACTTCACCCTCGGTTACCCCGTCAGTGGGCTGGGGCTGGGGCATAATACACCACTGGAGAGCTGTGTTCTGGCTAGCTGGCAGCCTGTCTGGCTGCAGGGTGAACTAGACCAGCCTCGAGGTTGCCGTGCCTGACGTTGTGCTCCCACTGGCTCTGAGAAACAGAAGGAGCTTCTTGCATGTGTTCCTGTTTTAGGAAGGCCATGGGGTTAGCTCAGCTCCCAGCCTCCCCCCATCTCCATTGCTCTCCCTCTCCCCCATCATCCCGTCATGCCAGATATGTGTAGCAACAAGCGGAGATGGTGGGGTCAGTAGAACAGCAGCCCCGGGTGCAGCTTCCGGTGACTGACCCCGTGTTTCTCACCGTAGTGCCGGGCCTGGGGCCAGTGCCCTTCTCTTTCGCCCCCTCGCTGATCACTGCTGAACGTCTTCCGCTGCCCGGGCACCACAAGCCGCTGGGGCGCACCCGCTCTGAGCCCTTGCCCCAGAACCCCAAGGCCATCCAGCAACAGCTGGCGTACCAGCAGCACCATGCCCAGTTCCTGGAGCGGCTCAAGCAGCAGACGGCTTTGGGCAAGGTAAGAGCTGGGCGGGCAAGGGGAGACATGACCCCCAGGGACGCTCCGGGCACTGGAGGCAGCGAGGCCCAATTACCAGGCTAGATACTGCATGGGAGTGACGAGCCACTGGCCATGCCACTCCCTTAGACTCCTGGTAACAAGCACATGCCACCACTGCTGACATCCAGCTGCGTGGTGCCCACACCCCATGGGTGATGCTCCCTGCCCAGATCATTAAAGGAATTGTGAACACAACTGAAAAGTATCGTGGTGCCCCTTTATAAAGCCATGGGGCATCTACATCTTGAATCCTGTGCCCCGCTCCAGACCCTGCACCTCCAAAAGGATCCATAAGAATCATAGCATCAGAGAACAGGGTTGGAAGGTACCTTGGAGGTCACATCTAGTCCAACCCCCTGCTCAAAGCAGGACCAGCCCCAACTAGAGCAGCTCCTCCATTGCCCCCTCCCTGGCCCCCATCATTTGAGGACCCTATCCACCCACAGAGCCCCCCGAGCCCTCCTCAAGCCCCAGCCCTGAGCCCCACAGCCACTCTCGCCCTGGCCTGTCCCCTGCAGCGCATGGCAAAGTCCAGCGAGAAGCCCCGTCTACGGCAGATCCCCTCCTCTGAGGACATGGAGGCAGAGGTGGGACACCCGGAAGGAGGGGGCGAGCGCAGCGACCAGGCCAGGGGGCGGCTGGAGTCGGCCCGGCCGGGGGCCAGCGTGAAGGAGCCTGAGAGGACCCAGAAGCCAATGCAGCCTCAGGAGGAGCTGGTTCTGCAGCAGGTGCCTTGGGGCTGGCGGGTATTGAGGGTGCTGGGAACAGAGCCGGGGTGCCCGGTGCTGCAGCCCAAGGGGGTGGGGACTGTGTGGTCTCCAAACCAGCAGAAATGAGGCTACGGTGTGCCCTGCCTTCTAGGGGCCTGGCTCTATGACCTGGTGCTCAGCAAAGGTTGTGCTGTGAGCAGCTCCTGTATGCGAGGCACCATGGCACTAGGAACTCGTTCCCCTCTCCAAGGCAGAGCAATTCCCACCATGCTGCGGTTTGCCCCAGGGGTCTGTGCTGGTCTTTTAGGACCACGGATGATCAGAAAACTGCTGCAGTGGAGGATCTACAGGGCCCTGGGACCTTGCAGGGATGGGTGCTAAGGGCTGTTAATGGTGGGACGAGCCACCAGTGGGTAGCAGACACCATGCGACATGGCCAAGACCGGAGCGAGCCATCCCTTGGCCTCCTGTTCCCGGGGGTAGCAGTGTCCAGAGGGTGCTCTGCATGCTTGCCCGTTTGGGGACACGGGTCACACCCCATGTCATGCTCACTTCCACCCTCTCCATCAGCCCTACATGTGGGAGCCCTACCAGCGCATGCAGCAGCAGCTCCTCAAGCGCCAGCTCCCAGCCGACACTCTGGTGGCACCGAGCATCCATGGAGGGCACCGGCCCCTGTCCAGGGCTCAGTCTTCTCCTGCCACGGCCACCATCTCCCTGCCCACCCAGGAGACGCCCACCAAGGCACTGGCTCTGCCAGTGCAGGAGCCGCCAGCCAAGCCACACTTCACGACAGGTAATGCCCCCTCGTTGCTGGCACCCAGGTCTCCAGGGGGGTCTGGAGGCAATGAGGTCAGCACAGGGAACCCAGGAGTCCAGATCTCATTCCCTTAAGCCCCACCACCCCCGTTGCACACTAGGAAGCAGCCAGGCCCTGCTCATCTCTGCCCAAGCTGCACCCCTGGCTGCAGGGAGCCGGGTTGGCCTCTCCGGAGGTAGCCAGTGCCTCATCACCTCTCCAGAGGCAGTCCTGGGGGCTCTCCCTTGGGCATATCCCAGCCACCAGCTGTCCTGTGTGAAGCCACCAACCCCAGGGTTGGTGACTCTTTTCTTGCCTGCCAGGGTTAGGGGGTCCGATGAGATGGCCCACTGAGGTCCCTTCCGACTCTATGAATCTAAGTCAAACTGTGCCCTGCACCTTGCCCTGAGTGCTGGGCTGAGATCTGGGGCACCGTGGTGGGCAGAGGGAACCCACGGGACACTGCCATCTCACTCCACTGTCTGCCGCAGGGCTCGTGTATGACTCGGTGATGCTCAAGCACCAGTGCTCCTGCGGGGACAACAGCAACCACCCGGAGCATGCGGGACGAATCCAGAGCATCTGGTCCCGCCTGCAGGAGAGGGGACTGCGCAGCCAGTGCGAGGTGTGTTGGGGGTGTGGGGGTCAGAGCTGGGCAGCTTGGTGGGGCTGGGCTCCTCGTGTGTCCCCAGGGGGAGCAGATCTCACCCCAAGCAGAGGATGAAGCGCTAGTCATGATGCACTGGGCTGCTCTGCTGGGTGCCCTCTCCTGGGAGCTCCAGCCCTGCTTTCCCCTGTGCCCCAAACATACAAGGCAGCAGAGAATGGGGGCCTTGAGCAGGGGCCGGACCCCTCCATGATGCTCATTTCGGAGCAGGCAGCTTTGCCCCCTTCCCCAGGCCCACAGGCACAGACAAGGCCTGAATCACACCTGTGCCATCTTAGCCTCGGTGGGTGAGGCCCATCCTCCCACAGAAGGAGCACCCATTCAGCCTCGAGCCAGCGGGGCCTTGTGGAGCCTCCAAGGCTGGGGAGGATGTGGGTGGCCGAGACAGTCCCTGGAGGTGCCCAGCAGCGCCCGCAGCTCTGTAGCTGCCAAGTCACGTGCCCACCTTGTTGGCAGTGCCTGCGGGGCCGCAAGGCGACGCTTGAGGAGCTGCAGTCGGTGCACAACGAGCGCCACGTCTTCCTCTACGGCACCAACCCCCTCAACCGCCTGAAACTGGACAACGGCAAGCTGGCAGGTAGGACCTGGGCTGCCACCCTCCTGCTCCCTGCCTAGCACCAGCGTGAGGGGCTGGGAGCCATCTCCCTGAGTCTCTGCCCCAGGGGCTGGGCAGTGTCTACCTGTTCTCTCTGCTTCTCCCCACCATACCCAGCCCATGACGTGCCCCAGGCAGAGCTGAAGCCCGGGGCTGGATCAGACCATGCCCTGTTTGTGCATAGCCAGGAGGGAGCCAGGCTTCTTGAGGGCTGGAAGCCAGCTTGGTCGTGGCCAGAGGAGCTGGAGGCAGCAGCTCTGAGCACGGAGAGCTAGCCCCAGCTGCCAGAGCATGGCGGGGCTGGTTCTCCTTGTGACGGCGTTTGATGGGCCTGGCTCAAGCGGAGAGAGAATTGATGTAGCTGTCTAGCTCCCCACCATTAGGTTTCAGAGTCATCGCAACTAGGGCAGCCTTGGCCTCCTGCGTGTGTTTCTGTTTAGCAAGGCCATGGGGTTAGCTCAGCTCCCAGCCTCCCCCATCTCTGTTGTTTCTCTCCCCCCCACCCCCTCCATCATCCCCTGCTGCCCCCATGCCCTGACTCCTTCCCCTTGGGACCACAAGAGCATGTGCCCTCAGGGGGGGACAGCGCTGCTCATACTCTGCCCCTCAGGCCCCCCCTATCCATGCGCCCTTCTCACCCCCTTGTACCTCCTGCCCTGGGGTCTGATGCCCGCTCTCCCCTGCAGGGATCCTGTCTCAGAGGATGTTCGTCATGCTGCCCTGTGGCGGGGTAGGGGTAAGTGCTTGTTTGGCAGTGGGGAGCCTTGTGGGCTGGGCAGGGTGGAGAGGAAGCCCCTTCTTCCCAGAAGAGGAGGGGCAGGAAGGGGTTGGAGCCATGGGGAGCTCCCTGAGTCCTTAGCCTGCTGGTGAGTGGTCACCGAGCAAGCCAGCACCCGGTCCCAGTCAGGCACCCAGGCCACTGCGGCAGGGGTGGGAGAGTTCAGGGTCACCCCTTGAGGTCTGGGGAGACTGTCCTCTGCTCACAGCACCGCAGGCAGGGCTGCCCACCCCTCCAGAGTGCCCTAAACGCTGGGGCCATCCTCAGCATCTCCCACCCCACCTGGAGCATGGCCTGTCCCCACTGCCCACTCCACAGACCCCGGGGACATGCACAGCCCTTGAAAGTAGAGCCTGGGCTGCACGTAGCGACCATAGACCACTGTGCCAACTGGGTGGGCGCGGAGTTGGTGGGGAAAAACAGGGTGCCCCTTGCCCGCACCCATGCCTGGCACTTCTCCTCTCGCAGCTGGCTGCACTGGTTTCTCTCCGTTCACTGCATTCTCCTCTCCCTGCTCCTCTGTCTCTCTCCCCACTTTCTCTCTCTTTCTCTCTCTTGCTCTCTCTTTCAGGAAGGGGCTCACTTCTCCACGCCTTCCTACTGCCTGCTCTGGCTCTTCTCCTCCCCTTGCCCTCGCTGCCGGGCGCCAACTCTCCTCCATCCCATTCGCCTCCGGTCTTTCCCACCCCCCTTCCCTCACCCCTGGAGGGCAGAGCCAGGGAGCGAAGCTGCCCCTGTCCATGGGCAGGGGGGTGCTTTGAGCCACACACATGGACTTGATCAGAAGAGACGTGGAGGTTTCTGGCCTTGCTCAGCCCGTGACGTGAAGCTGATCAAACCAAGATGTTGGGTTAAACAGTAACATAAAAGCAAGAAGGTAAAATGCATTTTCTTGGGTGCTTTTTCCAGCCCCAGGTGCAGGGAGGGCTGCGTTCAAAGAGCCCCTGCTCAAAACCCCCCCAGGGTCCAGATGTGCTGTGCAGTGGTGGAAGGGCTAGCAGCTTGGGTAGCAGCACAGGGCTGACTGGGAGCAGAGGGACCTGCCCAGCTCTCATGGGATGTGGCTTGGTCCCTTCCACGTGCCCTTGACTTGGCTGGTTGCTCCCAGCCGCCTGGCCTCTCCTCTGTACATTAGGCCTCTGCAGAGAGAGGGTCTCCTTGTCACCCCAAAATCTTGGATTGGGGAACCAGCAGGTTGTCAGTAGAGACAATGCTCTAAAGAGTTTCCACTCTGCTAGCGTAGGCTTATTTAGCGGCTAACATACACTCTCACACAATTGAAAGCTGGATAGAAACCAGCTCTAGAGTTGTTCCACATGTTCAAGCACTGACATTGTAGCGGGTTGACTCTTTTTGTGGCTGGAGAGCCATTTTGATTGTGAGATGACAACTTTGCCCCTGTGGCCCATCTAAATTTATTGGGTGATTCACCAATGAATTGTGTGATAATGACTTTGCATGTGTGACTGGCATACATTTATTGCACCATTCACTGGTGAATTGTGTGATAGATGTAATGTGTAACAGGGGCCTAAGAAAGGCACTTGTTACCTTGCGAACAAGTCTTACTCCCTGTCCTATAGATCAGACGGTTCAGGGTCTTGCGGGCCAAATAATCCAATGACCCGTTCTTCCCGGACTTTTATGCCTTTTGTCACTTGCTTATATTCATTAGAGATGCAATCCCATGCACCGGGACAGGCTGGGGGCCGACTGGCTGGACAGCAGCTCTGCAGAATGGGACCTGGGGGTTACAGGGGACAAGGAGCTGAATATGAGCGAACAGTGTGCCCTTGTTGCCAAGAAGGCTAACGGCATCCTGGGCTGCATTGGTAGGAGCGGTGCCAGCAGATCGAGAGAAGTGATTCTTCCCCTCTGTTGGAGCACTAGAGAGGCCACTTCTGGAGTCCTGTGTCCAGTTTTAGGCTCCCCACTCCAGAAAGGATGTGGACACATTGGAGAGGGCAATGAAAATGGTTTTGGGGATGGGGAATGTGACTTGTGAAGAGAGGCTGAGGGAACTGGGCTGATTTAGTCTGCAGAAAAGACCAAGGCAGGGTTGAATACCAGCCTTCAACTCCTTACAGGGGGGTTGAAAGAGGATGGAACTGGACTGTTCTCAGTGGGGGCAGATGACAGAACAAGGAGCAATGGGCTCCAGTTGCAGCAAGGGAAGTTGAGGTTGGATATTAGGAAAAACTTTGTCATGAGGAGGGTAGTAAAGCACTGGAACAGGCTCCCTAGAGAGGTGGTGGACTCGCCATCCTTGGAGGTTTTGAAGAGCCAGCTAGACAAAGCCTTGGCTGGGATGATGTAGTTGGGGCTGGTCGTGCTTTGAGCAGGGGGGTGGACTAGATGTGACCTCCTGAGGTCCCTTCCAACCTGACTTTTCTATAATTATTCTGACGGTGGCTACTACTGGTTCTTGCCAGGCTATTTGCATAATTGAGTTTTCCCTACTGGGTATTTTGTTAAAGCCTTATATACATAAATACGCCCGGGCTAGCAGACATTTCTTGACCACACTTCCTTCTCTTTCTGCACATCTTCTCCCCCCCTGTCCTTGACACCATTTTATGCTTTGGCCCAGTGTGCAGCTGTTTTCTCACCTACAGCCAGATCAGACCTCAAGGCACCTCCTGGGTTTGCAAATGTGGTTCTCCAGATAACCCCAGAGATTTTCAGTCGAAATCTGGCGGTGTGGTCTTTCTGAGTTCGTTGCAGCAGATAAACTGCTCTATAATTTTTCTCCTAGCACAAAAACGAGCAAAGAGCTGGCACTTTCTGAGGGCTCTCCCCCATCTCTCTGGGGCTGCCTCAAGCCTATAAAATGTAGAGAGCCACTGAACTGGATAGCCAGCTTGGAGCTGCCATACGCCTCGGGAGAGAGGACACTAGGTTATATCCCAGCCCCAGTGGCGCTCTCACTCTTGCCCTTGCTTCCAGGTGGACAGCGACACGATCTGGAACGAGCTACATTCATCCAATGCTGCCCGCTGGGCCGCGGGCAGCGTCACGGAGCTAGCCTTTAAGGTGGCCACGAGGGAGCTGAAGGTAGGAAGGGGTCTGGAAGTGGATGGGCCTTACCAAGGCTGTTTGGGACGAGGGTCCCAGGTCATTCCCCGGGCAGCTGAGGATGGTGCGGGGAGGATCAGGGGCTGTTGGAAACCATGGGTCTCAGCAGCTGGCTGCAGTGGTGGCCCTGAAGGAGACCACGGAGTCATCTTCACCACCATGCAGCTGCAGAAGGTGCCTGGCACTGACTGGGTGTCACCACAGAGGCTGGAGGGAGGTTTTACCCCAAATCCCCAGGGACAGAAGGGCAGCGTGTTCCCTTCAGGGTGCCAGCCTGGGACCCCCTCTGTCCCAGAGGAGCTGGACTTGTCCTGTGAGCACCCAGAACCTGTCTGGGGAGAGCTCTTGCACCACGGGAGTCTTGTTCCCCTGCTGAAATGTTGGGTGAATAGGGTTGCACTGGGGGTGAGGGGTTGTGGAGAGGGGGGTACTGTCTACTTGGGCAGATCAGGTGCACCTCGCTCCCTTCTCTGGCAGGACTGGTTGGCACTGGGGAGGCAGGTGGGGAGGAGCCCAGGACGGAGTAGTCATGCTCACTTTGTGTTTGTCTTACCCCAGAACGGTTTTGCCGTGGTGAGACCCCCCGGACACCATGCGGACCCCTCCACAGCCATGTAAGGCCTCCAAATTGCTCCCCGCTCCCTTCCCACGCTGCTCCCTGGGTCACTACCCAGTGCCTTGCCCTGGGCCAAGAGCTGAGCTGCTGGGCACGATCCTAGGAGTCTTGGCAGCTGGTAGTACAGCCGAGAGGCTCTGTGAGCCCAAGCCACCAGCTCCAGCCCCTTCCTAGGCTGGGACCATCTGTGCAGAGGGAAGGTCTGAGCCCTGTGCAGCAGGGAAGGGGGAGGGAGACTCTCACCCAGGGGGAGGGCAGGGGTATCTGCAGACAGGGTCCGTGCATGGGCTGACTCTTGCTCTTGGCACTCTTCAGGGGCTTCTGCTTCTTCAACTCAGTGGCCATTGCGGCCAGGCAGCTTCAGCAGAAGGGGAAACTCAGCAAGATCCTCATCGTGGACTGGGTAATTCCCCCCGCTCCTTCCAGCCCCCTCAGCTTGGCCCTCTCCTGGGACCAGAGCTGTGCCCCGTGCGGGTCCTACCATCTCTGCCTCCATGGTTACCAGATGCACCACTGCATGGCTGTGATCTTCCCCGCAGCAGTGTCCTACTTGGGTCTGCCAGGCTGTAGTGTGGAGAGGCGTGCACTGTTTGCACACCCTGTCCCAACCCCGATGGCTTTGCAGTAGGGGTGCAAGGCAGGGCTGGGGGGAAAAGGGAGCAGGCTGCAGGGATGTAGACCAACACTGCACATCCCAGGCCCTGAACTCCCCAACTCTTAGGCAGCTGGGCTCTCCCCCAGGCCAGAAGCATGGAGCTCTCCCGAAACACCCCCATCTCTCTTTCCAGGATGTTCACCACGGCAATGGGACCCAGCAGGTGTTCTACCGGGACCCCGACATCCTCTACATCTCCATACACCGCCACGACGACGGCAACTTCTTCCCCGGCAGCGGGGCGGCTGACGAGGTGAGCGTCCCCAACACCCAGCCTCCGTGCCTGCTGGGTTGGGTGGTATCCCTCAAGGCAGTGCAGGGCTGGAAACAGGTTGGCTGGGGTGATGGCAGAAACCTGGGGCCATGCCATGCTCTGGAGCGAAGAGCCCAGGTGTGGATTGGGATGGGAAATGTCTCACAGGAGATGCCAAAGCAGTTGGAGAAATGCCGCTCCCTGCCTACCATCGAATCCTAGAGCAGTGAGGCTGGGTGGGACCTCCAGAGCTCACCTCTAGTCCAGCCCCTGCCTGAGCCAGGATCATCCCTGTCCAAACCATCCAGACACATCCATCATCTAAACTCTTTCTACAACTGCCGTCAATGCTGACAGCACCGGACATCACACCCGAACCTACCACGGGGAAAGCAGGGGGGCCGCAGCCGCCAACATCCTGCTGATGTCAAAAACTGTCAATACACACTCAAGATATCCCAGGCAGAGGCCGTGTCCCTGCTACAGAGAAAGGCAACCCCCTACTCAGTCCATGCCAATCTGACCATGGGGTAAAATCCCCTTCTGACCCCAAATCTGGCATTGATCTGATGCTGAGTGGAGGGGCAAGACCCTCTAGCCAGGAACCTCTGGGTTTGGCCCCAGAAGGAGCATTGGCACAGCCCTGTTGCCATCCTCAGCCTGGGCTGCAGCCCCCAGCCCAGTGGCTCTGAGGAAGGGGATGGGGTGGGAAAGAGCCTCCGTGTGGGGGAATCTCAGTGGAGACAGGTGCCGCTTCCCTGGGAGATCTGCTCTGGTTTTGTAGGGTCCTGGGGGACCCCCTGGCCTGGGCCATGTCAGGCTGAATGTCAGATCAGGTCCCCTTAGCCTGAAACTCCATGGCTCCCTGAACCAGGCAGAAGGCGGTATAGGTGTGCACCTTACAGGCTGACCCAAAGATCTGCTGTGATTAATCTATAAAGTGCAAATCTCCCCTGCCTTCTACCTGAATAGCGTGGCTAAGCCAGGCAAGCCCAATAGTGACCAGAGGTCGGGCAAAGCCTGGCAGAGCTGGGATGGGGTCTGCTGAGGAGGGGGATGAGGAGCAGGAGATGGGACTTAGGAAGTTGCGGCGAGAAGGGAGATCACAAGGTCGAAAGAAAGTCGGACTCCTCTGGGCTGCCAGCTGTGGGATTCCCTGGCTAGCTTGGGAGCTTCCCCCGTGCTAGAAACCTGGGCCACGGAAGCCACATCTGAGCTGCCAGCACTGTTGCTTGCTCTCTTGCAGGTTGGCTCTGGCCTCGGTGAGGGCTTTAATGTCAACGTGGCCTGGACCGGTGGCCTCGACCCCCCCATGGGAGACCCGGAGTACTTGGCAGCTTTCAGGTAGGCCCCTGGGGTGGGGCAGGCATCCCGTCCTCAGCCCCACCTCTCTGCCTGGCTGGAGACTGCCCAAGCCACAGGCACTTCTCTCCCTGGGCAGCACTGCACTTTCCTACCCCAAGGAGCTCTAGCCTCTTCCCTTTCCCTTGCACCCCCTTTTCAGCCTCTGGGAAACTGGGGGTACTGGGAAAGGTGGACAAGCCAAGGCTTCTCATGCAGCAGTAGAGAGGCCACGGGCTTTCCCAGGTCCTGTGCTGGTTTGTTCAGGCCTCCCCAAGGCCAAGTAGGACAGGGATCCTGGACCCTGTGGCACATCTGGCTCCACTGGTGTCACTGCCAGCAGCGACCACCTGTCCACGTGGGGCAGGTAGCTTGCTCTTCAACCCAACAAACCCACACGCCTAGACCCAACAGGCCTCACTGACTCCCCCGAAGCTGGGGGCTGCTGGAGAGGACCTTTCTCCTGGTCCACGTGCAGACTGGGGGGGTGCCAGGATGGGGGTGGACTTGATAAGGAACTTCAGCCAAGCCTATCTGTCTGCTGGCAGTGTCTGTCCATCTGTACTCTGCATACAGTGTCTCTCATATCCATCTAAATCTGGAAGTGAGGGGCAGACTTGGAGCTGTGATGCTTTGGGATATACATCCAGTGCCCCCCACCCAAAGAGTCTCCCCAGGGTGAGGGGATGCTTTGGACAGCTCTGTGCCCTTGCAGCCCTCATTACCCCAGAAGTACCTATCATTGGCAAGTAACTCCAGCTATCCCAGCTCCTCCTTCTCTCCCACCCCTTCCCTGTCCATTTATCTTCTCTTCACTTCCATCTGCACTGCCTTTCTGGAAGCAACTCCCGTTCTCCCCCCCACCTCCCTGCAAACCTTCAGTCCAGCTCTCGCACCATCTGCATCCCATCAGCTCAAACGACCAGCAGTGAACTAGTGTTGACACGCAAGGCTCAGTCCTTACTGTCTTGTCCTAATTGTAAGTCAGCCTTGCTTATAAGATGACACCATGTTTTCAGGTGGGGTTTTAGGGAAACAAACCCTTTCCCCAGTTCAGGTCGGTATCTACCAGTGAAATCATTGACCCGCAAGAGAATCCAATAACCAAAGAAAGGGCCCAGAAGGTTAAATGCACTAAAAATAGCAGAATAAAAATAAAAATATATATGTATAAGAGTCCTCTTAGATAATCTGGGACAAACAAAACCTTCCGTTGTCTTTTCAGTATTTTAAATGCCAGTGTCTAGCTGAGTGGGAAGATGTTTCCAGGGTCCTGAGTCTTTCCCAGCTAGCAAACCCACAGGCCACTGTAGAAACACCAAGCACATTCAAAACCCTTTTTCCTTTCATGAAATGCCCACATTTGTGACTCCGATTCAGCCCTCTAGTTTCTTGCCAGCCACAGGGGCCGTTTCCTGGTCGATGGCTCTGGGGGTGGTGGTGACCTCCCACAGCTTGGCTGGTAGCTGCAGTGTCACCTGCTCCATACGTTTGCACCCTGTTGTCCTGATTGTAGGTTGATCCCGACTATGATTTTTTTCCCGGTTCTTTTTGAGGGGAAACAAAGTTGCCGTGTCGTTGCAACCAAATGTTTCTCAGAGTACACACGAGTCCGTGGTGCTCTCACCCGCTGGAGCAGTCACAGGCGTGGGAAGACCCTACCACCCTCTCTACTATGGGCTGTGTCGGGGTGGGGGGGTGCTGGCTGGTGCTATTGGCCCCCCACTGTGAGCTGACTCGCTCCAGCTGCCCAGAAAGGACCACTGAGGCAGTGCCTGAGCTGGAAGAGAGCTCCCTGCTGCACATGGACCTCACCTGGTGCACCCTGTCTCCCCCCACCCTTTGCAGGACAGTCGTGATACCAATTGCCCACGAGTTCTCCCCGGACGTGGTGCTGGTGTCTGCGGGGTTCGATGCAGCTGATGGCCACCTGCCACCCCTGGGAGGCTACAAAGTCTCTGCCAAGTGTAAGTTTCCGACAGGTAGAGGGAACACCTAGGCTGGCTCGCAGCAAGCTGCCTAGCACCTATGAGCCGGGCAGGCGCTACCCTGAGCTGGGGCAGATCAGGGGAGATGCCTGCTCCCAGTATGGGACTGGGGTGCAACTCTGGGGCTGGCTGTGGGATCAGAGGGCCCAGGAAAACCGGGGGTGGGGGTGGGGGGGTGAGTTTCGGAGCTGTGGATGGGATGCTGACTGCAATTCTAGCCTCAGCTGGGCTCCTGCATCCTCGCACCGAGTCCAGAGCCCTGCTCTGAGAGCCGGGTGGTGTTTGACACCCAAAGCTGGCCCCCAACCTGCTCCTGGTGTCTGGTCAGCCCCCACGTAGGCCCAGAGCCGTACTGGGGGCTGATGGGCTGCCCTTTGACTTTCCCCCCACCCCCCAGGCTTCGGCTACATGACCAAGCAGCTGATGAGTCTGGCAGGAGGAGCCGTTGTCCTCGCCCTGGAAGGCGGCCATGACCTCACAGCCATCTGCGACGCCTCGGAGGCCTGTGTCTCAGCCCTGCTGGGCAACGAGGTGAGGAGGGGGGAGCGATACCGCAGCTACCGCGGCAATGCACCCAGTTTGGACGCATCTGCCTGGGTCCCGTTCGTGGCTGTGACAGCCCTGGTGGTGCTTGCTCCTGCAGCCGGATCCCCTCCCCGAGGAGAGCTTGAGGCAGAAGCCCAACCCCAACGCTGTGCGCTCCTTGGAAACAGTGATCCAGGTCCAGAGTAAGTGTCCCCAGCCAGCGAGACGTGAGCTTAGGGAAAGGGGCAAATTACCCTCAGTGGCTGCAGCGTGGGCCTCTTGCTCCTTCCCCTGGCTGATCCCAGATCCCAGTGGATGCTGCGACTTGGGGCTGGCTTGCTGTCATGCAACCTGGAGAGCTGGGGGGGTGGGCTTCCAGGCATTAGCCATAAGCTGGCTGTGCTCCTGGGCCCTGGATGGGGGCATCCCTGTCTGCTGGGTCTCTGTGCCAGAGGGTATGTCGGTGCCTCCTCTCCTCCCAGAGGAAGCTTAACGTGGCTGCCTCCTTCCCTCCTCCCCCCCGGCACTGCTATGGCCAAGGCTGGGCCTTCTGATTGCAGCCCTGAACCCCCCTTTCCCTCCCACTATGATGCCCCCCATGTCCCCCTGCAGGTAAATACTGGAGCACCGTGCAGCGCTTTGCTTCCAAGGTCGGCTGCTCCTTCCTGGAAGCGCAGCACCACGAAGCGGAGGAGGTGGAGACGGTGACAGCCTTGGCCTCACTGTCGGTGGCCGTGATGGCAGAGAAGAGGTAATGACACCCGTCCTGCTGCCCTCGGTGCCTCTCCCTGGGTTTCTGCAAGCGAGATGAGGGCACAGGCAGGCTGGGGGCGACCATACTGGGCACCAGGCAGACGCTGGCTCCTAGAGGAGTTTGGAGGGGGCTGGAGGGAAATCCAAATCCAGTTGCAACACAGCCCCTAAAGCTGGGTGCCAGGGACCCCTTGGTCCCGGATGCATCACTCATGCATCATGTCTGTTCCTACAAACTGTCCCCTCGTACATCACCTTGATGCACCTAAGGAGCACAGTCTAGTTGCACCTCCCATCACGTAACCCAGTAGCCAGGACCTGGAGGGCAAACCAAAGGAACGGGGGTAGCTCAGTGGGGCATTCATCCAGTAGGCGTCATAGGTCGCAGCGGCTTGTCACCCATGTACCTCTTGCTGGGCATCCTATTCCAGTGCCCAAGCAGGGGCCTCCAGGGGTGCATCTGGCCGTGGGGGCCTGGCTGGCTGCCCCGCAAGGCTGAGAACAGTCTCCAGGGTTGGGAGGGCAAGAATGCAGGCAATGAGGCCTATGCCTCCCTACACCATGGTGGGCAGAGGGAGGGCACCAGCCCTGCCGGGGGTGGCAGTGGCTGGGGTGAACAGGGTGCATGAGCTGGATCAGTTCTTAGCTGCTTTGGGAGCCTACTCGGAGCAACCCAGTGGAGTTGGGTGCAGTGGAGAGTTGCCTTTCCCCCGACTGAAAGTGGGGGGTGCCCTGACTGTGCCCCTTGCTGCTCTGTGGGGACCTGATAGAAGCAGAATTAGCAAGTTTTGTGCCCAGCTGCCCTTGCCCCGGCTGCCAGGCTGGTCCAGCCCTCATTGGACAGAGCTCTGACCGGGGCTTTGCTGCTCTCCCCTGCTCAGAGCACAGGACGAGCCCATGGAGGAGGAGCCCATGAACCAGTGACGAGCGGAGACGTGCTCCGATGCTCCGACGGCAGGAAGCAGGCTGGACCCTCCGAGCCCGCCCCTCGCTCTCGGCGTCCCGTCAGCCGCGTCATCCTCTCCCCGTGTCACCGTCCCGAAAAGGACTGGGCCTTTGGCTGTGGCTTCCGCCTGGAGGAGAGTCTCCTACTGCCCCCCTGGCTGTCCCCTCCCCACTCAGGACCCTTCTCCAAGCCCTCAGGCCTGCTAGGGCTCCAAGGGACAGACGGGCAGGAGACGGTCTCTGCCCCTCCGAGCTGCTACGCCAGCCAGGTGCAGAGCTGCCGTTCTCCAGGGGCCATCCAAGCAGCTGGATCTTGGGGTGGCCAGTGGTGGCCGGGTTGATGTCTGGACTCAATCCACCCTCAGGATTGTACCAGGGTCCTACCAGGACCATCCCCCCCTCCATGAGTGCCCAAGCCTGGGGGGACACAGGTGCCTTCGCACTGGCCTTGCTACAAGGGTTTGTGACCTGCAAGGTGCTGTCCTCTCAGCCCTCGTGGCAGCCGCTGCAACAGTCACCCGGGGTCCGAGCCCCCCACTCTGAATGGAAAGCCTTTAGGAGCTGGATGACATGCAAATCACATGCAAATGGAAAAGAGCAAGGACTCAAGTGTCTCGATGGCCCAGAACGGGACCCAGCCATCTTAACCACTAACCCAGAGGCTCTACTCTCTGGCATCCGGGGCTCTGATTTGCACTATATACAGATGACACATGTGAACCCGGCGGCCTCGTCTTTGAGCCGGCCGGAAACAAACTCCTCTTCCTATGGACGTTCACCAGGGGACACGAGCCCTTTGAGCAGCTGGTAGCCTGAGGATCGTACTGGACATAGGCTCCTGCCTCTGTGTCGTCCTGCTCCGGCGGGCGGTCGGCCTCCTTCCAAAGAATAGGTGTTTGGGGTCCTTAAGCTCCCAGGCAGCTGGCACAGGGCACGTTAGCAGCTCCGATGTGGGGCATAGCTGCTGGCGCTGGGCACACACACACTTGAGAGCTAAGGCCTGGTGTTGGTGACCCCCTGCCCCACCACTGGGCTCATCAGGTAGCCGAGCCAGCTGGCTTCCTGCTCTCACTGAAGTCAGGTTGGTTTTGTGCAAGGGAGAGCAGGGCCTGCTGTCATCCAGTAGTGGCACCCTGCCCCGTGCCTCCTCCCCCATGACAGACAGGGAGGAGTAATGTGGCCAGTTCCCCCTCCAAATGCAGCTGGCCAGAGGGGGGTTGCTATGACATAGCTAGTCTGGATCATGCCCTCTTCTCAGGCGTGATCCAGACCAGACTTTGCTATCAGCTTTAGCATGGCTGGCTGTCTCCGGTGCCTGCTCAGAGCAGGCCAGGGAGGTGCATCTTCTCCCCACCCATCGCTCTCAAGCCTCCAGCCCACCTGGAGGAGATCCCTGAGCCCTCGGGCCACCAGGTCAGCAGAAGCGAGCTGAAAGCCAGCCAGCAAATCAGGCAGGAGGGAAGCAGGCCTGTGCTTTAGGCCAGTGCAAATAGGCAGCTATTTGATTCGGCTTCAGATCGGGCTGATTCGGATGCCAGCGATCCAATTCGGAGCTCCGGATCGGTTTCCCGCTTCGATTCGGCTTCAGAGCTGCTTTGGCGAGCCAGCTATAGGGTATAATGGGGAATCAATGCAATATCTATAACTTGGTTGTTTTTTGTCTGATTTGGATGAAACTTGCAGGGATGGCAGCCTCTGCTGAGCATGAAGGAGATGGAGTTTCAAGGAGATGGGTGCAGGGGGTTCGGGGAGACTGCACCCCAAATTCTTGAAAGCAAAACTCGTGTCACGTGTATGTGTCACTTCCCATTATACTCTATGGCCGAATCGGCTCCGAATCTTTTTCCCAAGCAATTCGGAAAGCCTAAAGCTTCTAGCGATTTGATTTGGATTCATGCATTCGGCATCCGAATAATCTCCAAATCCGAATCAGCCCTACTGTGCATAGCCTGCTCCGGTGGGTCCCATCCCACCTTGCACCTGGCCCGTGGGGTATTCCAGCCCACTATACAGGGAGCTGTCCCCTCTGCCCTCAGGCTCCCAACTGGGGGCGGAGGGGGATATCCTTCCCCAGCTCCTGCCTGTGTCCCAGGATTATCTAAGCACCTCTAAGAAGGTAGGAGAGGTCCAGCAGCTGGCCTGGTATGGTGCCCCACGATGGTAGCAGCTGACCCATAAGCTCTGATAGGGGAAGGGTGGGAGCCTGGGGGGCTGGGGATGGTGGGATCTGGCCCGGCTCCATCTGCAGGGAAAGGGAAGAGTCGTTTTGTAAAAAAAGTAACAAAGAAAAAGGAAAAAAAAGGCTGTGAAAGGATAAACATTTCTTTGCCTCGCGTTGCGCCGCGTGGGGAAGACGAGGGGGCCGCCCATAGCCAGGCCCTGCGTGGCAAGAACAGCTCACCCGTGACCGCCTGCAGCCACTGGCTCGTGGACAGCTGCACTAGACACGTGCCCAAACCAATGCCCTGTGCCCACTGATGTGTCCCCCACAGTCTGGATGCTGTCCCTCCCCCCACCTCCCCATGTCCCCCAGCCTGGGGGCAGTGCAACTCCTTCTCCCCCAAGCTTCCCAAATGATGTCCCTGGTGTAATGGCCTGAGCTCTTGCAAGTTCCCATGGCCTGTCGTCCTTGGTGCCGGTGAGTCCTGAATCCTGCCCTTGCCCTAGACTCCCTCCCCCCCCCCCCCG